TTGTCGAAGTTTACCGGATCGTGACACTGATAAACAATCAACATAGAGCACGTGACAAATGAATGCATAAATAGAGCCATGGTATTTGTTTTTATACCATCCATGCGTTCCCCTTTGTTAATTAAACTTTTCTTTAACACTTGTTAAATGATTCGTTGTATTAAATTTGTTCTTTAAGAATCAGTTATTACTTTTTACCTTCCAGTGCACGTTTGTATATATTCTTTCGTCACGGTTTTCCCTTCGCACTTGCGCTGTGCGGTGGCCGAAGTTCTAACGAGATATCTCGTAGTTAAGATCACTGCATACGGCTAATAATAGCGAATTAGTGTACGGGAAGACAATAATTCAATAGCAGCACATTTATGATATTTTAATAATATAAAGGATTTTCTTTTACAAGAAAGTTCACGTACACTTGTTTTATAGTAAAACACCCATTCAAGTATACAAAACATAACTTTAATTTTTTTTTTAATTTGAAGTTTCATATGACTTTAACATGTTTATTGGAACTTTATAAATGAATAGCCTTTTTGGCGTATTTAAAACGACAATTAAGTCCATTCAATTGTTGAAGGATTAAAAGGTAAAAACAAAAACCAAAAAACTCCGATTAGCATACGAACAGATCTCATGGTTACTAACGGTGAGCGCAAAGACGAGTTGGAACCTTGAAGGGACTAACTGGTAGATTATAGTGTTATTACATCACGATCTTCTTTGATCAGTTTAGAAAGGCTAATATATGACATATATGGCCATGGTTACACCACAAAACTTAATATAGTCAAAGCTTTACAGCTTTAAGGCATGGAAGGAAGAAGATAAATAAAAATTAAAAGCCATAAGATTGATGCATTTTAGATCAAAGACAATTTGAAACAAGTCTATCAGTTTTATATCAAGTTAGAGTTTATAAAACTAGAAGTGCTGAAAAACAAATCAGAATTTTACTATCAAGATTTAAGTTCAGATACTTAACGTAGTGGACGCTTACGAAAAAACATAGAATTTTCAAAAGGTGTCTACATAATTATTTCGTATCTTTATTTTATACGAGCGATCACTATTTGATTCAACAAAAACAACCCTACAAACTCTACAAAAAGGGACTTCTAGCAAAACATAATTGAAAGGAACCGTATGTTAAGACCAATCTTAATATTGTATTGTATTGTTATATGTGTTCAGTCATGCATTCAGACGCCCATCCCGAAACTATGATGTACCATGCTATTCCTAACCCTTTCAGAAAGCCCGAGAGTTTGAATGCTTTATCCTCTCTTTACGACTAAAATATTGTTGTTTCAGCATAAAAAGCCACAAACAATATTGTTTTTATATGCAAAAAGATTTTTTGGAATGCTTAACAAAAGAACTTGGAATTCATTTAATCCACGACTAACGAAATGTAAAAAAACTAAAAAAAAAGGCCTTTATCTTTCTTGGTATTTTCAACATAAAAATGATGAAGAAAATCTTTGTTTTTTTACAGGGTACCACAAACGTCACAAAATTCTTAAAAAGAACAAAATATAGTTGGCTCGCCTAGATGATCGACATAACATTTCTAAAAGTTTATACTCTTATTTTTTCTACAGTAAAAGATCGCCTTATTGTGATGTATAACTCAACGATGATGTCAATCAGATGTTGATTATTAGAAATTCTGAAGATCTACTCCAAAATCATTAATCACAATCATTACAGTTCTACAATTACATTAAAGCCTTTGATATTTCTACGCCCTACAATACCATACTCAATGTTGAATCTAAGACCGACTACATCAACATTGAACAGTTCTTATGTAAAAATGTGAATCGTATACACAAATATTCTATTTTTGGTAATGAAAAATATTACCGAAAAAATACCTCGAAGACGACACCATCAACATGCTATACTTTTTGATCGACAACATATCTGTTGAGTTTGGGTGTTTGATATTTCAAGAAAAAATAATCGGAATTCCAATGGGTACTAGTTGTGCACCCATTACACTTGTTTGTGAGTTCATATGATAATGAACTCATTTAAAATATTTTCAAAGACAAAATTAAAAAAGAGGCAACTTGCAAAGTTCTTTAATTTCACTTAAATATTTATTGATAATGTCCTGTCAATTAGTAACCCAAATTCAATGAGTACTAGTTCTTGCATTTCATACATATCAGCGAATTTGCAAATAAGGATAATATCGGGGTTAAATGGTCTGATGCATATCTGGATCATTTCTTGATATTGACAGATATAGACGACTTCAAAAAGAGAGGCGAAGATACCAACGGGAACTAGAAAACAAATAAAAGTCCACAACACACGATATAGAGAACTAAAAACTGAAAACTATAACACGAAACTCATCCAACTATGATCTATGATAATCGTGTTGTTTTTAGCTTTCCCATGATCAACTTACCATTTCTCAGTAGGAACTTGCTCTCTGTCCTATCACATGACGTTTACATATCTCAATTGATACGTTACGCAGATGTATGTTCATATTATAAGGACTTCCTAGACATGGGTGTGCTCCTGACAAAAAATCCTATTCAAGCAGTGTTATAAAGAAGAATGACTTAAATGGAAACTACATAATTGTTCAGGTCACCATCAAAAGATGGTTGACGGATACGACATGTCTGTGTCTCAATTCACAAGTGACATGTTTCTGCAGTTTTAGATCTTTAGTTGACTGAACAGTCGTCTAATTTGTAAATTTCCTGATTATCCTATTCCCTATTTTGACATTAGGACTGAGTGTGGAGTATTATGCCGGGTGAACCAAGCATAGCAGAAGACGGCTATTCTGTCGACGCACCCAGTCTCCCATGCATTTCCTCATATTTTGTCTTATATCGTGATTTGTGTATTCTAAATGGATTTACTAAATTTGATCACCGATAAAATACTGTTTACTGTTTCCTACGGTTGCATTTGATTGTGACATCTGTTCTTTGTCTATTTTAAGTGTGTATTATTTTGGTGAACGGAATTGATAAATTATGCATTTTATAAATTGTACTAAGGTCCCAATGTCTTCAGCACAGTTGAACCAAGATGTGTTTGTTCTGTTTTCAAAGATGTGTTTTATCTAGGTAATATAAGCCATGAATGATTTACAGCAATAAAAACCCTGTGTTCAATATATATAGTAATTCTTGATCATTTCACATTGATATGACATTTGAGAGACCACCTTTACAATACATTTTGACAAAGATAATGACTTAGTCGATATAGAAATATCATAAAATGACAGAGCTAGAGGTGAATTCCCATATCAAGTAGACCTTGAAAATTGTAATATGCAATGTTATACATTTTAATGTGTTTCAACTATTCGGAAATTAAACGTAAGGATGGAAATAATATTGCACTTTAATAACAATTGAACGATAATAGAAATTTTTTTTCGACATAACATGATCTTTTATTCAACACTTGACAGATCTGTGGGAATTAATAGTAGAAATTAGTCTTGTGAAGAGAATCTATTCTAGCTAAAATAGATTGATCACTTGCTGTTAGAACAATGATTTAAAGAAATAATAAACGATCAAAATAGCTAAAAAAAAATAAAAAATGAAATCTGTAAAGTACAATGAACTGGAATAAAGATGCAAATTGTGAAATTTTGTTTGACATCTTTACCCTATATTCTAAGTAAAATTGACCTAGTAAGACATCTCATGCATCGTTGGTCTTATGGCAGCCTGCTTGCCTCTTGTTAAGCACGTAATTTGTTAAATGTCTGGTTCAGGCAAACCAAAAACTTTATGATTGGCATTTGCTTATTCCTTGACAAGCATGCGGCATGTCCTTTGTGAGCTATAACATCAACCATGTCTTTCAGCGTGTCGGTCTAGTAAATACAGGGTACCATTATCTCTCAAAAATGTGTTATAGAAATGAATAAAAAAGTTATATTTTTCTCTGGAAATTAAACTGGTTTTAACTGAATTAAGACTGCACAAATTATGTACAGTTATTGAAGATGTAAATACATTTTGTTAGAAAAAGTAATCTTTATGAACAGCATTTTTGTAGGAAACATTTGTGGTACATTTTTTGCCAAATTGTTTCATGGGTTTCATATAGAATTTCTAAAGAAGAATGAAACGAACTTTTGTATGATGGATTCCTCTGAAGACCCCTCAGAAGACGCCTTTTTACTTAACAATACTCATCATAGATACTAGGATTAATATTATGTACACCAGACATGTGTTTCGTCTACTAAAGACTCATCAGTTACGCTCGAATAAAAAAAAGTCAAAATAAAGTACGATGTTCGATGGAATTAAGGAACACAATTCTGGGAACTATGTTGATGCATCTATGTCAATGCAAAAATAAAGTTAGGTATGTTAATTACCGTGACTTTCACCAACACAGTGAGAATCAGTTGCGAACTATTTATTTCGAAGACAGATATTACTTTAATTCATTTGTGAAATGTTCATAATTATGTTGCAATAATTATTTAGTACCAACTTCAAATATTGCTGCTTAACTTAAAAGCCTTGTTGACGAAGGTTATGCTTATACTGATATTGTTCAATAATTGGGTCTTGTGGTTTTGGGATTGATATCAATTATCCTTTAAGATTTTTGGCTAGATCAAGAACCCCAAGTACGTGGCTGAGTTAAGCATGTCTGTGAGTGAGTTGGTTTTCCTAATCTGGTACAGTGATATAGAAGAAAAGCAAAACAACCAACAACATTGAAGAAAATTACGAGCACTAGAACAAAATTTATTAAATGAGTGGATTGCATTTTCTTCAATATTTTTCGTTCCTCTCTTTTTTTGCACTGACTACTTTTACCTTTATTCATATGTTGATTTGAATGACGCATAAAAAGGATAAATAGCAAATCAACATTTATATCAAACCAGCTTATTATTTGCACAAATTTCGTCGACATAAATGTTTGTACTCAATTTTTAACCCATGATATATAATGTATAAAACGTAAAGACAATAACTTACTTTGTCGGCCGATTCGTTTTGACATCCGATGCCACAATGTTTTCAGTGTTATAAGATATGGAGTAGCAGTTTCACATCTATGTTCACACAACGTTGACTGCACACGTTCAGAATGCCCAGTACTTAATATGACGAAAATTATTAAGATCGTATACAGTGTTTTGTATTTAGTTATGGTCATCACCTGTAACAGAAAAAATAGTACCACAATGTATAAATTATTAGGAAAAGGTAGGTACTCAGGTTTATCAATTCACATATCCCAATTTACACTGCATTTAGTATTGAAGTACTTACGTGTGTTTCTAGTTGATTGTATATGTTTTTTAATGCGGTTTTGAAAACCACTAGAGTTTATTTTCATTTGCATTTCTTTATTAAATGTTGTTACTCGTCCGAGAGTTCTTACGTAGTTCACGAGTCAAACGACCGACTGCAAACAAAACTATCATAACCTATTCTTTTTGTACTTCGTTACTTTTCACGCCGCTACCTGTCGCAATTTTAGGCCACCACTCGACATTACTATATAAAATGATCATCTAACAAAGATCTGACAGTCATCAAGAAATATATGGAAGTATCTTTTTTCCATTTTTACTATACGGTTGACAAACGCGAAATATTGTATAGCTAATAAGTAATATTCAATTACGATGATAGTATTCGATTGCCTATTACATGTCACAATGTGACGATATTGTCAGATAGAATATTGGATATATTATTATGTATCAATTGATCCTGATTGGCAGTAACATTCTCTTGTATCATTTACTTTGGTTTTATAAACACAAATATATATGATCTCCACAAGCGTAATCTCAACATTTGAACAATCACTTCATAACAAGAAACTTGATATTTTTGTAAAATACAATTTATTACAATTTTATATGTTTTGTCAATGAACTACAATTTGTATAACTTTAATACTTGATGATACTCGGACGACGATAAACTTAGACATTGTAAAGTATTCTGTTTCAAAATATCCAGTAGATAAACTCATCATTGTAGAAGAACTGTTGATATATATATTATTGCAAAGGAGAAAAGGATTGCTTTACCAATTGAGGCTAACTCGAATTAGTTTTCCGTTATATATTGCATTTTATATGTAAACTACATTCATGTAAACAAAAATCCTACTTGATGTATGTGGGTATTTTGTTACAATATTCCCTGGTGTTAAATCATCTGATCAAGTCGTACTAAATACTAATGAAGAGGAATTACTGTAACCCCTTATATTAAAACTTCATTACCGTTCCATAACGTATGTTTCATTGTGGTAATATATCGTTTGATAATAGTTATTCGCACTGACATCTTTACATTATATTTCAAATAGAACAGTCACATTTAAAATTGCCCTTTCGATCTATCAATTTTGCTGCATAGTCTTACTTACTGATACACATTATGGTATCAACATATGAGCCGTATATGTTTTGCTCATTGTAGAAAGCGTCACGGTGACTTGTAGTTGCTGACTTGGTGAACATTTGTCGCATTGACATTCTTAACACATCTTCTTATATTAACATGGCATTGTTTTTTGTTATCTCTAATATATTTTCACTTTTGGGTAGGTTTCATATGTTTTCCTAAGCCTGTCTAGACCTGTCTATCTGTTTTAATTTGTCTCTTTAGGCTATTTAAAGTTTGTCTTTTGATTTAGATACTTGTCTTTTGTGATGAAAGTACATGTATGTTGACATCTTTATGTCTTTTCTGGTTAAGTGTTTTATGACTGCTGTCACATTTCTTGTATCTCACATTTCCTTTTTCTCATTAACGGTAATTCTAGTTTAAATTAGGGACAATATGTCTATAGACTGATATTCAATTTGAACTCTTGTAATCACCTACGCTTAAATATCTGCCTCTAGATAAACTTCTTGGTCTTACTGCACTTGATATGCTGTCTCATTGGTGTTTTTGAGACATCTTTTATTCCTTTTACTAAAGAGTGACTCTAAACGTAAAGTGCTTGAAATAACAATCAAATCTAATCGTTTGCTATATATGATTCATATTTTGGAATTGAGCATGAAAAATTGAAGAGACACAATATATTCTCTTTATCACAAACGTAGACGAAATAGACACCAGGTATGTTTTAAATATCAATTAACGTGATTGAGAAAAGTATATTTGCAAGCCAAGCAATCAATTAAGTTTTCGATTTTAGTCGTTTGCTGATATAAAAAAGAAGCAGAAGATGCCAAGAAAAAAACCAAGAGTCGATGGAAAACAGACAATACCATGCACAAAAAGATTAACGACGAAAAGACAAACAACAGTCTATATACATCTCCACTAAAGACTAAGAGTCGATGGAAAACAGACAATACCTTGCACAAAAAGATTAAAGACAAACAACGGTCTACATACATCTCCACTAAAAACAACAATCTATTCATTAAAATATTATGCATTGAACGAAAAAATTAATTCAGAAGTAGTACTAAAAAAAATAAAAGTTAAAGGTTAGATTTAAACATTTTCTTTTATCCTGAAACAAGTCTTCCGTTTCAATTATGTTTGAAGTTGACGTGTTCTACATAGTTAGCAATGATACAATTTCACTGCACTAGAAGCGCATTTCGACAATAAATATCCCTTCAGTGATGCTCGAGGCCAAAATATTTGAAAATCCAAATCCTAATACAAACTTTGAAATGCTGATAAAAAACCAAATGAACCAAAGTAAGGTCAAACTCGTATAAGGAATCAGATCTATGCCTCAGGGAAATACATTCCTTAATCTAAAATGATTCGAAATTTAGAACACAAATTTAAATAGAACAATATCCATATTTACTGAAGTACAAAAAAGTATTGGCAAATGATAAGCTACGTAAATATGAAATCATAAAAAAATAAGGTAAATGTATTCTTAATTTTGCATTTTATATGTATAACACACATTTTTTATGACATTTGTGATAAACCCTTTTCTTATTACGTAGTGGATAATCATAAATCTTTTTGTTTTCAAATATTCAGCTCGGGGCTAACCAAGACAGCTACAACTCATGATTTATAATCACTATGGAAAAAATAAGCAATTGTTCTGTTATATTTTTATTGAAACTAGCAAACTATATTTTTCTATAAGAGTTTTGTAACTTAAATAAGATTTGATTTTGTTCTTCCGGTTGACATTCCTTTTATCAATTTTAACTAATAAAGCTAAGGTAAAAGTTAATATTCACAGTACCGGTGGGAGATTATACGTGAAGTCACAGAGTGGAATTCTATGAAGCAAATAAAGTACAATAACTTAAATTGAAGAAAGATAAATTATAAAATTGTTCTTTAGAAACATTAAAAGTATTATTGCACTATGTCTCTTAAGATTTCCTTTATCTTGACAGAAGAAGTTGATATATTGATGAATGGAAGGAAATTGAGTTTAAATAGAGTGTAATGATTTGTTCGTCAATGAACTTAATTGCGAACTTTAAATCTGAATCCCATAATAATTGTTAAAAAATCAATGTATAACCGAAAATTCAGAAGTATGAAATCATGATCGTGTTAAGATTTTTTAAATGTGGATAGTGGTATAAATATTAAAATGTTCATACAGTAACTACTAAAACAAACTGTTGATCGAATATACATTATGATTGACGTCAAAATTTACGTAAGCAATGTTTACTCGACTGACTTCTCAGCAGAAAGTTTACTCGAAAGTCCAAGAACATTTTTGAAATTGGAAAGGGTTTGGAAGCAGAAAAAAACCTTTCCACTATTTGGGACTCTGTGACACTGAAGTAGGAAAGCATCTAGCGTCGTCGTCAAGTTTTATTAGCAACAATAACAAAGAGAAATAATTAGGTGGCGCCACACGATTCAGCGATCATTAAAGTCAACGAATTTTATCGATTTGGGTTAACGGAATAACACACGGCTGTATTTGATATCATTAGAAAGAGGAGAACACGCCTCATCGAAATATTGATGTCGTCGTTGTCTACAGTGGTCACGATTTTCTTAAATTTGGGTCAAAGGTCAAAGCTAAAATTTCAGGGAAAATGTAGAGTCACGTTAAGACAGCTGGTCGCCCCTACATATATGCGTTTATAGCAAAATAAATTCAAATAATTCAAAGGATTATAATATAGTTTCTATATTTAGGACTAAATTGATATTTATGTTGCCAAATATGGTTCGAGATTGACATTGGTTTTTATAGGGTGCACTCTTACAATTTTCATTCATCTGTTAAACAACACTGACCTTGACCTATTGAATTTCCAAATTCGGAACTTTTTCATAAGATTCAATACAAGTGATCTCTTGAGATCTTTTTTATATATTAACATGTATAAGTTGTCCTTCCAAAATGTTATATTTCCGTCTTTTGATAGATGTTTCGTAATGATTTTCTGGGAAAATATCCAGTTTTCTTTTGGTGAGTGTGGAAGCAATTAAAATTGTACTTAGTTCCAAAACTGGTGTAATATTAACGTATTATGATTGAATTAGTAGGTATGAGTATATCTTTGCTTAATAGAAATAAGAAAGACTGCAAACGCTGAAAAAGGGGGAGGGTTGTCCGTCAAAGTTATGAAAACAAAGTGACAATTAGAAACAGGTTAATCACTCTATCTTACAAACTTATATATTGGCCTACAATTGACATGAAGTTAAAGATTGTCTACAAAAAGAGGGTTGTAACAACATCAATCTAATTAAAATATAGATCTCTGATACATTTATCCTCATATGAGTTTATACATACGAACACGCGAGTTAATATAGTTCTGAATTTTAATCAGATTGAAAAAACATAAAAAAAATTGCCTAAGCTAGCAGTAGCTATAACGTTTCATTGTCGACTGTTAAGTTGAACGCCCACCAACCAGGTTTATATTAGAGAGCTAATTTCAGTTGATTTTTTTTCATCGCATTCGAAGCAAGTTGCAGAATGCGAGGCATACAGCATACAATCTGATGATGGAGGCGGCAACACCGTAAACTATTTGTATATCTTTTTATTTCAGAGGGTACAGGAATGGGATGAATCATATTTTGTATATAGATCCATTGTGTTACGCAGTTCCCGTCTGTCATATAATTATTTTCCTTGACCTCATTTTCATGGTTTAGTGACTGCTAAAAAACTGTCTGGTTTTTTTTGTCATGTGAATGTCTCACTTGTGAGTT